CGCACCTGACCATAAGACGCACCTAGGTTTTAGAGGAGAAAAACAAGAAAAAAAATATTCTGAACCAATGGACTGCAGACACAGTACAGGGGATGACCAGAGACTGCGGACACAATACAGGAGATGACCAGAGACTGCGGACACAGTACAGGAGATGACCAGAGACTGCGGACACAGTACAGGAGATGACCAGAGACTGCGGACACAGTGCGGGAGATGACCAGAGACTGCGGACACAGTGCGGGAGATGACCAGAGACTGCGGACACAGTGCGGGAGATGACCAGAGACTGCGGACACAGTGCGGGAGATGACCAGAGACTGCGGAAACAGTGCGGGAGATGACCAGAGACTGAGGACACAGTGCGGGAGATGAGCAGAGACTGCGGACACAGAGCAGGAGATGACCAGAGACTGCGGACACAGTGCAGGGAATGACCAGAGACTGCAGACAGTGCAGGGCATGACCAGAGACTGCAGACAGTGCAGGGGATGACCAGAGACTGCAGACAGTGCAGGGGATGACCAGAGACTGCAGACAGTGCAGGGGATGACCAGAGACTGCAGACAGTGCAGGGGATGACCAGAGACTGCAGACAGTGCAGGGGATGACCAGAGACTGCAGACAGTGCAGGGGATGACCAGAGACTGCAGACAGTGCAGGGGATGGCCAGAGACTGCAGACAGTGCAGGGGATGACCAGAGACTGCAGACAGTGCAGGGGATGACCAGAGACTGCAGACAGTGCAGGGGATGACCAGAGACTGCAGACAGTGCAGGGGATGACCAGAGACTGCAGACAGTGCAGGGAATGACCAGAGACTGCAGACAGTGCAGGGAATGACCAGAGACTGCTGACCTTTGGGGAGGGAGGGGGAGCGGGTACCTGAATTTGACAGGTACCCGCTCCCACTTCCGCGGAGTTGTCCTTCCCTCTTCTTCCCGGGCCGGCTTCTGTGACAGCCGGGTGCCCACTGCGCATGTGCGAGAAGCGCTGCGCTTTGTGAATGGCCCGGCGCTTTCTGGGACCTGTCATGTGTCCCAGAAGACACCGGATCATTCACAAAGCGCAGCACATGCGCAGTGGGCACCCGGCTGTCACAGAAGCCAGCGCGGGAAGACTGTGTAGCGCTGGAGCGAGGAACAGGTAAGGCCCTGCAGGAGAGAACAGCTGAGCGGCCGGCCCGGTACTCTGACATGGTGGCGGCAGAAATACCGGACCGGCCGCTTTATATTCGCTCCATAAGACGCACTGACATTTTCCCCCCTTTTTTTGGGGGAAAAAAGTGCGTCTTATGGAGCGAAAAATACGGTATATATATTTTTTAGTACACTAATTAATGAGCAAGGGAGCGATGCACTATTGTTTGAATATATAGAGTTATTAACACTATTTATGAGTTGGTGTAGGGTGCTAGCGAACCTATTTGTACATATATATAAAAATTATCTTTATTTTTTGGTTGTGTATAACACTTTTGAATTTCACCATATTAGCTCACAAGTAATTTTGGCACCTGATTAAAAAATGTCAATGGCCTCCACCTGTAAAACCATTCCTGTTTTGGGGGTCATCTCATTGTTGCCCATCTAGTGAACCTGTTGTTAATGTCATTAACACCAAAGCAGCTGAAACTCATTAAAAACCCCCTCTGCTACTTAACTGACCAGATCAATATCCCAGGAGTTTAACTGACTTGATGCTATACTCTGATTAAAAAGCATTCCTTCAATTTTTTTGAGCAGTGTACATGTTATGTATAATTTGTAATCTTGTCCTATACGTTTTGTACTTTTTTATCTTAATGGTGTTGTTGTTTGGTACCTGGAGAGTCCCAGATGTCTCATCTTTTTTTTCTTTAGTATAGTTTTTGGGATTTGGTATCTTTTTATTACTGATAGTCATTGACTTGACACAATTTCATATTTTAATATTCAGAGCATTTTAGCCACGCCCATTGTGTCATGGTGCGCTCCGCATGTCTTTTCCATCCCTAGGTGTCCCTCATACTTAAGTTTCAAATTGGGAGGTTTGTTGAAACTTATTTCATTATTTAGTCAACCTTTTTCATTTTTTATTTGATTTGCCATTGCATGCCACTGTAAGTGACACTTCTGGATACCAATGTTATGGCAGATATTCCTGTTGTCTGTTGCTGATTATTGGCTAAAACAAAAATGCATAAAAAATACACATGCATCAAAATGTTCTACAAAAATGCACTAAAAATGTATGATTTTGCACTAGCACCAGTGTGAATTGGTGGTTTAGGATAATAAATCCTTAGCTGTTTCCTGTATTGCTTGATTCCCTTTTATTCCTATCAATTTACTTTTTAACCTTCAGGACTGGTTCACACCAGTGCAGCTTTGAAATAATGCTACTTCAGCTTAATTTCAATGCCGCAGATCAGTGAGATTTGGATCTCCAATTCCATTGTGGCTTGCAATTTAATTTAACAGAAGTCAATGCAAGTTGCAATGAAATTGCAGAAAAGTAGTGCTTAAACTTTTTTCGAAATCACTGCGGCTTGAGTCGCAACAATCTAAACTGTTCCATTGCTGAACATACGGTGTGACTTGTCATGCTATTTTGAACTGTCAAATTGCATAACAAATTGTATTGGTGTGAACGAAGGCTGAAGGCCAAACCTTAAAGCCCAACAGCAGGGAAAAAACTTACAGTGCCCCCCCCCCCCCCCCCCCCCGTACTGCAAAGGTTACATGCTTGTTAAGTCTAAGGGGTAGATTGTGAGGCTACATTATTTATCTGACACCGCACTCCAGCCTGCTCTGCCAATGTTCTCTTCTCTTATAAAGCTCTGGCCTGTGAGCCTTGGTATCATCACATACAATTTAGAGAAATTAATACTGCATTGTACATGGTGGAGGCAGGAGTGCAGCTTACAGAGATGGCTGCAGAGGACAAATTGCATGGATCGATGGAGTCTGCTGGAGTGAGAAAAACTAATACAGCCTGTTCTGCACCCGTCCGACTTAATAAGCATTTAACCCTTGCAGTGTTGGAAGGTGGGGTACTGCAATTTTTTTTTCTTACCTCAAGAGTTGGACTTTAAAAAATGTCCTAGATATAGGAAAACCTTCTTGCTTGTTTTTATTTACCTTCAATGTCTATCTTATCTTTGTAATTTGCTATACAAATTTCAGCACCATTTTATAAGCCCCTGTATTGCCATCTTGTGGCAGAACTATAATATGTCAATTTGAGAAACTGCAATACTGATTTCTGTCAAGATTTCGGTAATTTTGTAATCAGCACCACATTTTAAAGTCAGTCCTAATGTTCATTTTATTTTTTTATGATAGTCTTTGGATCTCTGCCTTTATGGTGGATTTAAAATCAAATATTAAATTCTCATACAACCTTAAAGTGAAAACAAAAAAATTGCAACCCTGCTGGCTCTTTATTTCTTGCTTATTATTTACTATATAGCATGTCTCTTCTACAGTAAAGAGTGGCTCTAGTGTGGATTTTGAGAGGGGACCCCACCTCCTTCTTTTTTGGGAGGGGGTTGGTGGTTTTTTGTTTTTTTTGCCTTCATCCCTTTTTAAATCTATATTAGATCTTTATCAAAGGTAAAGATCTGGTATGCATTTTGTGGGACACATATATGAAGGCATGCAAAAAAAAAAGACTGTTGGTCCTCCCAAAATACAAACCAGACCCTTATCAAAGAGTTAGAGACAAACCTCAGTCAAAAAAAACTAAGCGAGATTCCTCCAAAAATCCATATCAGACCCTTATCCGTATCCCCCTGGGAAAAGTCCATGTCAAGGAATCATACCCACATCACTGGCCCAGAGAATGTGGGGCTCTACAGGAAAGAGCTTATTGGAATGTGGAAATAAGGAATTCCACCAGCTACATATCTCCACAGATGAATAGGTAAGGGGAACATTGTACCCCTTGCTACTAATTCCCCCCAAAAATGAGTCTCAGCTATCAGCTAAATGTAAACAAACGGGAGGGATGGTGGCTGACATTACTGGCCAAATATGGTCACGGCTATGCAACTGTTAAAAAAAAAATATGGTCACGGCCATAATTGGTCAATGACATTATCCATCATCCCTGTCCCTTTATTTAGAAACTAGCTTTTGGTCCACTGATTTATTATTCTCATCTAGGAGTGTTGATGGCAGTGCAGGGCTCAAATGTTTTGTTTTGGTGGGTCAGCAGTGCAGTTCATTATGAATAATAAGGATCCACATACACTATATTGCCAAAAGTATTGGGACGCCTGCCTTTACACGCACATGAAATTTAATAGCATCCCAGTCTTAGTCCGTAGGATTCAATACTGAGTTGGCCCACCCTTTGCAGCTATAACAGCTTCAAGTCTTCTGGGAAGGCTGTCCACAAGGTTTAGGAGTGTGTCTATGGGAATGTTTGACCATTCTTCCAGAAGTGTATTTGTGAGGTCAGGCACTGATGTTGGGTGAGAAGGCCTGGATCACAGTCTCCACTATAATTCATCCCAAAGGTGTTCTATCGGGTTGAGGTCAGGAATCTGTGCAGGCCAGTCAAGTTCCTTCACCCCAAACTCACTCATCCATGTATTTATGGATCATTCTTAGTGCTCTGGTGTGCAGTCATGTTGGAACAGGAAGGGGCCATCTCCAAACTGTTCCCATAAAGTTGGGAGCATGAAATTGTCCAAAATGTCTTGGTATGCTGACACTTTAAGAGTTCCCTTAGCTGGAACTAAGGGACCAAACCCAACCCCTGAAAAACAACCCCACACCCATAATCCACCCTCCACCAAACATTACACTTGGCACAATGCAGTCAAGCAAGTACCGTTCTCTTGGCAACTGCCAAACCCAGACACATCCACTGGACTGCCAGATAGAGAAGCGTGATTCATCACTCCAGAGAACAGGTCTCCACTGCTCTAGAGTCCAGTGGTGGTGTGATCTACACCACAGCATGCGATGCTTTGCATTGCACTTGGTGATGTAAGGCTTGGATGAAGCTGCTCAGCCATGGAAACCAATTCCATGAAGCTCTCTACACACTATTGTTGTGCTAATCTGAAGGCCACACAAAGTTTGGAGGTATTTAGCTATTGAACTGCAGACAGTTGACAACGTTTGCGCACTTAGTGCTTCAGCATGCGCATTCCCCGCTCTGTCATTTTATGTGGCCTACCACTTTGTGACTGAGTTGCTTTTGTTCCCAGTTGCTTCCACTTTGTTATAATCTCACTAACAGTTGACCATGGAATATTTAGTAGCAAGGAAATGTGACAGATGGACTTATTGCACAGGTGGCAACCTATCACGGTACCACGCTTGAATTCATTCAGATCCTGAGAGCGACCCATTCTTTCAGAAATATTTGTAGAAGCAGTCTGCATGCCTAGGTGCTTGATTGTATACACCTGCGGCCATGGAGGTGATTGGAACACCTGAATCCAATGATTTGAAGGTGTGTTCCAATACTTTTGACAAAATAGTGTATGTAGATATTATGATGAACAATGTAATTGATGCAATTTTTTTTTTTTGGTTTGGCTAGTTAATAAAAAAAAGGGGGCTGAACCCTAGTGATCTTTGATCTCTTTCATTTTGTTCAGGTAGATTTCCACCTTTTAAAGGTTGCATACCCCTGCTTTAAGTCTTAGTAAAAGTGCTGCTACCCACAAAGTGTATTTAATCATTTATATATTTTGCATGAGTACATGTCCCCTCCAGCCCTCCATGCCATTTAGTTGACAGTTTCTTGCCTATTAAGATTAGTTCACCTTTACCAAAAAACTGACAATGCAGATAAGGGGCAGCTGTAGTTAAAAACAAACTGTGCTGCTTTGAAAAAAAGGGAAAATTACTGAAAAACACACAACTGTGAAAGTTAAACTGATTTCCATCAACTCAATGGGAGATGAATCTTTAAAGGCATTGTTCACCTTTACTAAAAAACTGTCTATGCTGATAAGGGATGTCTTTGACAAAAGTTGAATAATGACCTTGCTATAAGTTTAGGCCATTTATGTACCTCATGAAGCCTGACTGTAATACTTCCAGGATGTTACTATGAGAAGCCCAGCTGTTACTGTCAACTCCATCATCACAGGAGTGAACGCTGCTTCTCAGAACTACTGCATCAGGGGAGAGAAAAAAACGTTTTGAATCAAATAAAGATCTCACTCCTGTGATGGTGGAGGTGAACAGTAACAGTTGGCCCCTCCTAGTAACATCCTGGGAGCTTCCCAGTATATTATCACTTAGGTAAATGTAATTTATGATAGAGATGTACTATCTGCCTTTTTACCATAGAGGAGTGTTTAGAGGCAGAGAAAAAAAAAACACCGGATGAGTTTTTGTTAATAAGGCCTAATCGTATCTTTTTCATGCACTGGATTTGCACACAAAAGAAATTGCCCTCAAAAAGTTGCTCTGCCAACTAAGTATTTACAAGAATATATGCTATGGATGCAAACATTGATAAAAATTATGAAAATCACTTCCCCCTAACATAGTCAAAAAATTACCAATGGTAATGGTAAAGGTAAAAAGGTAAAAGTAGAAACAATGCAGCAATAATAAGGTATGTAATACAGTGCCTTGAAAAAGTATTCATACCCCTTGAGATTTTTCAATTTTTGTAATGTTACAACCCAAAACGTAAATGTATTTTATTTGGTTTTATGTGATAGACCAACACAAAGTGGCACATTATTGCAAAGTGGAAGGAAACTGATAAATATCTGAAAAGTGTGCTGTGCATTTGTATTCAGTCTCCTTTATTCTGATACCCCTAGCTAAATTTAGTGGAACCAATTGCCTTCAGAAGTCATCTAGTAAATAGAGTCCACCTGTATGTAATGTAATCTCAGTATAAATACAGCTGTTCTGTGAAGAGGTTTGTTAGAGAACAATAGTGAACAAACAGTATCAAGAAGGCCAAGTAACACACCGAACAGGTCAGGGATACAGCTGTGGAGATGTTTAAAGCAGGGTTATCTTATAAAAAAAATCCCAAGCTTAGAACTTCTCATGGAGCACTGTTCAATCTATCAACCGAACATGGAAAGAGTATGGCACAACTGCAAACATACCAAGATATGGCCATCCACCTAAACTGACAGGCCAGGCAAGGAGAGCATTAATCAGAGAAGCAGCCAAGAGGCCCATGGTAACTCTGGAGGAGCTGCAGAGATCCACAGCTCAGGTGGGAGAATCTGTTCACAGGACAACTATTAGTCGTGCACTCCACAAATCTGCTCTTTATGGAAGAGTGGCAAGAAGAAAACCATTGTTGAAAGAAAACCATAAGAAGTCCCATTTGCAGCTTGTGAGAAGCCATGTGGGAGACACAGCAAACATGTGGAAGAGGGTGCTCTGATCAGATGAGACACAATTTAACTTTTTGGTCTAAAAAAAAATCACTATGTGTGGCATAAAACTAACACTGCACATCACCTTGAACACAACATCCCCACCGTGAAATGTGGTGGTGGCAGCATTATACTGTGGGGATGCTTATTTTTAGCAGGGACAGAGAAGCTGGTCAGAATTGATGGATGGAGCCAAATACAAGGCAATTGTAGAAGAAAACCTGTTAGATTCTGCAAAAGACTTAAGACTGGGGTGGAGGTTCACCTTCCAGCAGGACCCCAAACATACAGCCAGAGCTACAATGGAATGGTTTAGAACAAAGCATACTCATGTGTTAAAAATGGCCCAATCAAAGTCCAGACCTAAATCCAATTGAGAATCTGTGGCAAGATTTAAATATTGCTGTTCACAGACGCTCTCCATCCAATCTAAGCAAAAATGTCACTCTCTAGATGTGCAAAACTGGTAGAGACATACCGAAAAAGACTTGCAACTGTAATTGCAATGAAAGGTGGTTCTACAAAGTATTGACTCAGGAGGGCTGAATACAAATGCATGCCACACTTATCACATATTTATATGCAAAAAAATTTGATTATCATTTTCTTTCCACTTCACAATAACATGCCACTTTGTGTTGGTCTACCATATAAAATCCCAATGAAATACGTTTACATTTTTGGTTGTAAAATGACAAAATGGGGAAAATTTCAAGGGGTATGAATACTTTTTCATGGGACTGTAACAATATATGAATTATGTGGTATATAAGGTCCAACTCCTAATAAACAAATTAACTACATCAATCATAAAACACTTTAAATTAATATTTGATTCTGTATAATAAAAAAATGTATTAGAATTACCAAATTTATTAACAAATTACCAAAATAAATATTATTTGCTATAGTAGTCAATAAAGCTTGACCAAATATACAGTCAGGTCCATAAATATTGGGACATCAACACAATTCTAACATTTTTGGCTCTATACACCACCACAATGGATTTGAAATGAAATGAACAAGATGTGCTTTAACTGCAGACTGTCAGCTTTAATTTGAGGGTATTTACATTCAAATCAGGTGAACGGTGTAGGAATTACAACAGTTTGCATATGTGCCTCCCACTTATTAAGGGACCAAAAGTAATGGGACAATTGGCTTCTCAGCCGTTCCATGGCCAGGTGTGTGTTATTTCCTCATTATCCCAATTACAATGAGCAGATAAAAGGTCCAGAGTTCATTTCAAGTGTGCTATTTGCATTTGGAATCTGTTGCTGTCAACTCTCAAGATGAGATCCAAAGAGCTGTCACTATCAGTGAAGCAAGCCATCATTAGGCTGAAAAAACAAAACAAACCCATCAGAGAGATAGCAAAAACATTAGGCGTGGCCAAAACAACTGTTTGGAACATTCTTAAAAAGAAGGAATGCACCGGTGAGCTCAGCAACACCAAAAGACCCGAAAGACCACGGAAAACAACTGTGGTGGAAGACCGAAGAATTCTTTCCCTGGTGAAGAAAACAACCTTCACAACAGTTGGCCAGATCAAGAACACTCTCCAGGAGGTAGGTGTATGTGTGTCAAAGTCAACAATCAAGAGAAGACTTCACTAGAGTGAATACAGAGGGTTCACCACAAGATGTAAACCATTGGTGAGCCTCAAAAACAGGAAGGCCAGATTAGAGTTTGCCAAACGACATCTAAAAAAGCCTTCAAAGTTCTGAAACAACATCCTATGGACAGATGAGACCACGATCAACTTGTACCAGAGTGATGGGAAGAGAGAGTATGGAGAAGGAAAGGAACTGCTCATGATCCTAAGCATACCACCTCATCAGTGAAGCATGGTGGTGGTAGTGTCATGGCGTGGGCATGTATGGCTGCCAATGGAACTGGTTCTCTTGTATTTATTGATGATGTGACTGCTGACAAAAGCAGCAGGATGAATTCTGAAGTGTTTCGGGCAATATTATCTGCTCATATTCAGCCAAATGCTTCAGAACTCATTGGACGCCGCTTCACAGTGCAGATGGACAATGACCCAAAGCATACTGCAAAAGCAACCAAAGAGTTTTTTAAGGGAAAGAAGTGGAATGTTATGCAATGGCCAAGTCAATCACCTGACCTGAATCCGATTGAGCATGCATTTCACTTGCTGAAGACAAAACTGAAGGGAAAATGCCCCAAGAACAAGCAGGAACTGAAGACAGTTGCAGTAGAGGCCTGGCAGAGCATCACCAGGGATGAAACCCAGCGTCTGGTGATGTCTATGCATTCCAGACTTCAGGCTGTAATTGACTGCAAAGAATTTGCAACCAAGTAATAAAAAGTGAAAGTTAGATTTATGATTATTATTCTGTCCCATTACTTTTGGTTCCTTAATAAGTGGGAGGCACATATGCAAACTGTTGTAATTCCTACACCGTTCACCTGATTTGGATGTAAATACCCTCAAATTAAAACTGACAGTCTGCAGTTAAAGCACATCTTGTTCGTTTCATTTCAAATCCATTGTGGTGGTATATAGGGCCAAAAATGTTAGAAATGTGTTGATGTCCCAATATTTATGGACCTGATTGTATATATCACCAAATGTTTATAGTATTCAAAACGGTTACAAATATAGCTGAACAACTATTGTTACAAAAAAACAGCTGAAGCAATACACAAACATAATCCCACCAAAACCACTGAATAGGTGCAGAGGCAATAAATAGAAGATTAAAGATCAGCATACCAAAAGGACCATGTTAAGGGCTGCTTATTGAAGAATAGTGCTTGATGCATATAACTGAAGAGAGCCTCTTTGTCAGAAGCAGAATCTTTGATGTATCAACATTTTATACTAGTGGTGCTTATCAGGAAACCTGTGCAGTGCAAGCAAGGTTCTTGCTTGTGGTAGATATTAAAAAAATCCTTGTGATAAAACTAAAGCTTTTATTTTCATTAATTTACATATTTCCACATGAGTGAAGCTTAAAAAGCACAATTGACACTCAAGCAACATAATCTTT